GGTGATTTAGCACGTGCCGTAGTGCATTCCTTCTAGTTTGCCTTGATTGAATCTATATTGTCAAAATTATGTTACCGTGAACGAGTGATTGTCTATCTCGTAATGCATATGCCGGATTATATTATGCATAGATGAAGTATATGGATGGATATAATGAACCATATATTGAATGAAAAATGCGTAAACATGATGTATGTGCTACTATGGTGAAATATTATATTCGGTACTGTAGTGAATAGATGCATAACATGATAAAAATGTGTAACAGTTAATTGACCCAACGTGGTACCCCCTGTGCCCCCTGTGCCCCCAACGTGGTGCCCCCTGTGCCCCCTGTTCGTTGACCCCCTCTGCTATCAACGTGGTACTTCGTCATCAGCGCCTAGTAGTTCTTCATGACTTGATGCCGCGCGGACGCTCCACGAGCTCCCATGTGCCATTGGCGAGGAGACTCCGCATCTCCTTGTCTATTGTCGCTTTCACTCCCGTGCCCTTCTAGCTCCCCAATGCCTCATTGGTCCTGATATCCTAGCACTGATCCATATCAGTGTGCATGTCGAGGTCAAGCTCGAGCAGACTGACGTCAGCCTGCACGTCGTTGAGGAGCGTGCTGTAGTAAGTTGCCGACACGCAAACATAACTCCACCACATGCAGCCCAGCCTAACGTTAGCACGCACTCCCCGTTCGACGACTCCCCTGTTGGCGGCTCCTCTGGAACGCGTTCCCCATTCAACGTCTCTCCTATCGACGATTCCTCTGTAACCCGCTCCTCGTTCGACGGAGCCTTCCGACGTCAATACGCGAGCAGACCAGGACACTTCAACCGCCAACGATGCCAATGGGTGGTGCCGAATGTGACGCACTAATGCTCCTCTCATTGCTGATGGACGACGTCGATGCAGACTTAGGCAGGCCAGTGACGAGCGATGGGAGGGAGGTGGAAAGAGGCGGATGACTTCGCGACGGGGGTGGAATGGGAGGGGCGGGATTGACTGACTGATTGTCGTCCTCAGCGACGAGTAACGGAGTCGTCGCTGACAATGGATCAATTGGCGCGGAAACGGAGTCCGTTCCAACACCGGCTCATGCTCGCGTTCCACACCTTTACTGACATAGAAAATGGCTTCCACAATGATATCAATTCAATTGTCCGTGAGGTCGAGCATCTCCTAGCCACTGCTCTCTACAAAACACTGCGTCTATTCGTCGTGAGCGCGTCTTGTCGATGCGGATGAGAACGCCATGACATTGTAAGCATCTGATTAACGCTGATATTACCACCTCCGTAGGGGGATACAACGAGTCGGCTGAGTGGTTACTACTAAAATGTCGTGTACGAGCATTTATTACTGATATTGTGCATTCGTCATGCACATTTTCGCCAAGTCATTGGGTGGTGTGAATAATTTCTACTGGGTAGCACACAATGTTCCCCGATTTTGGAGGCCCTATTTGTTAAGAATATCGTCAAATGTTGCAATTTTTGTTGATGCATTCATAATCTGGCATAGTAATACAGAACACGAATGAACAACAATTTTTGCAACCCGAAATTTCTCTAAAAAATCAAACACGTTACAATTGGATATTTTTTTTTTAAGCCCATTTTCCCTTTGACGAGTTTGGCGAACCCGAGCTGAATACCACGCTCGTTACAGGCTCAAAGTGATGAGTAGCTCTTTAAACAATAACAGAGATCTAGCGTAGACCTCGCCGAATCGTTGACATTTCCCGACACCTTGCGTTTGGATATTTTATTTTGCTGTTTAGTTCGCGAGCCGTGCTGGCCGAATGCTGTAGGGGGCTTCACTGTTTCACTCTGTCGCTCGCAAGCCAGTTGCCAGAATAGTTCCTTCCTTTTTCGAGCCTTTTGTTCAGAAATCAAGCAACTGTGCCAATGCGCCTCGGACTGCTGCATCGCTGGAAAGATCGGTTTGCCAGCATGGCACAAACATGCCAAGCCGTTGACATTCCGTTGATAATTTTTTTTTAAGCCCATTTTCCCTTTGACGAGGTTGGCGAACCCGAGCTGAATACCACGCTCGTTACAGGCTCAAAGTGATGAGTAGCTCTTTAAAGCAACAGTATACTTTTGCAAGCGGGGGTTTCAAAAACCTTAGGAACTTGAAAAACTGGTTACGCGATTACAACCCCAACCCCCCCTTGTTGAGAGGCGAAGGAGTTCCCAAACGCCCCACGTCCGGCTCCCCGCACTCACAGTTCAAAACCTTAGGAATTGCAAAAGGAAACTGCAACTGCGGTAGTGAGAGGATAGCCCACACACTCCTACTTCAGTATGTCATTCCGCGTAGACTAGGCAGCATTCTAACCTAACAGCTAGAATTAGGGACAACATCTGTTACTGAACCACGTAACGATGTTTCCTCGCATGCGCGGACAAATCGCCACGCCTACGCACTCGCTTAGGCCACGCCACCTTAGACAAGGCCGCCCCACGCCTCCTCTCGCTACCTCACCGCAAGGCCATTAGCGACAGCGCCTCCCCTCCCCACAACGTCCCGTTTAGCCTCGACGCGCTAGCATCTGCATCCTATCCCTTCCTCCACTCCTAGCTCGCCGTCCGCCGTTCGCCGCGCGCGGTGAGCCGCTGCTTCCCGCTCGCCGCTCGCGTGCCCTCCCTTTCACGTTCGCCGTCCGTTGTTCGCCTTTCGCCGGACGACGTCCGGATTGAGACTCCTCTCGCCGAACCACGCTGCCTCGTTCTGGTTTATACCCATTCGCGGCTGCACGAATGCTTCTTTACCAGCTCGGTTCATCGGACTGGGCTCTACGTCTCCTCACGCGGCCCCATCGCGACCACCGCCACGCCATCTCCCCTTCCCGCCACGAAAACTCCTCTTCCCGCCACGTCATCTCCCCTTCCCGCCACTCCATCCCCCCTTCTCGCCACGCCATCTCCCCTTCCCGCCACGAAAACTCCCCTTCCCGCCACGTCATCTCCCCTTCCCGCCACTCCATCCCCCCTTCTCGCCACGTCATCCCCCCTTCCCGCCACGCCATCTCCCCTTCCCGCCACGCCTACTCCCCTTCCGAGCACGCCCTCATTTCCCCTGCACGCCCTTATTTCCCCCCCTGCACGCCCTCGTTTCTCCCCCTCGAACGCCCTCATTTCCCCCTTGCACGCCTCATCCCCCCCTTTCACGCCTTCATTTCCCCCCTTGCACGCCCTCGTTTCCCCCCCCTGCACGCCCTCGTTTCCCCCCCCTGCACGCCCTCGTTTCTCCCCCTCGAACGCCCTTATTTTCCCCTTGCACGCCCTCATTTTCCCCTTGCCCGCCCTCATTTCCCCCTTGCACGCCTTCATTTCCCCCTTGCGCGCCCTCATTTCCCCCTTGCACACCTTCATTCCCCCCCCTGCACGCCCTCATTTCCCCCTTTTCCCCATCTCCCCTCCCCATCTCCTCATCCCACCACCTCTCCCTGCCTTCCCATCTCCCCTTCATGCCTCCCACCACCTCTCCCTGCCTTCCCATCTCTTCTCTTTTCCAGGGCCTGTTATCCGCAACCCGCCCTCTTCAAACTGCTCCTCAAGCGCTGTCCTCATCAGCACCACCACTCTACCTCCCGCTCTCTGTGCCTCTTCCCTCCTTTGTCACTGGTCCACGCTTTGTCTTGCTTCTTGCTCTTCACATCCCCTTTTCCTCCTTCCTCCAGATCGCCCCATCCCTCTCTCTCGCTCCCAATTTTTCCTCCATGTCTCCCCATGTTATTTTCCTTCCCACCGCCCACGGGTTTGGGACGAGGCCCGTCTGCCCTCTCACACTCGCCATGCCTCGCCATGCACTCGTCCTGCCATTCTGACTCAACCTGCAATTCTCACCGCCATCCCTCCCTGCCTTTCCATCACACCTCCCTGCCTTTCCATCACACCTCCCTGCCTTTCCATCACACCTCCCTGCCTTTCCATCACACCTCCCTGCCTTTCCATCACACCTCCCTGCCTTTCCATCACACCTCCCTGCCTTTCCATCACACCTCCCTGCCTTTCCATCACACCTCCCTGCCTTTCCATCACACCTCCCTGCCTTTCCATCACACCTCCCTGCCTTTCCATCACACCTCCCTGCCTTTCCATCACACCTCCCTGCCTTTCCATCACACCTCCCTGCCTTTCCATCACACCTCCCTGCCTTTCCATCACACCTCCCTGCCTTTCCATCACACCTCCCTGCCTTTCCATCACACCTCCCTGCCTTTCCATCACACCTCCCTGCCTTTCCATCACACCTCCCTGCCTTTCCATCACACCTCCCTGCCTTTCCATCACACCTCCCTGCCTTTCCATCACACCTCCCTGCCTTTCCATCACACCTCCCTGCCTTTCCATCACACCTCCCTGCCTTTCCATCACACCTCCCTGCCTTTCCATCACACCTCCCTGCCTTTCCATCACACCTCCCATCCTTTCCATCACAGTCCCTGCCTTTCCATCACACCTCCCTGCCTTGCCTCCCATGGGTATAGGGCCCCATTACTTACCGCTGTGACACCAGGTGTCATTCAACCCGTACCAGGCGGGTATGCATATGCAAAGCTGCCGGTTTTGCGTCCAAGTCAGCACCATATAAGTGTGCCAATTCCCTCTGCTCCAGCGACAAGCACGACAACGCCTGGGCCAAGAGAGCTTGGCAGTGTGGAGGGGCATTATGTTGCAGGAGTGTGTCGTGGCATGAACATGACACGAAGAGTATAGTGCTGTTTAGTATACTTAGAGATGATTGTATGTGTACATACGATACAACTCAATGTTCCTTTTGGACATCATTGCTGTGCTCATTTTCAGCTGTAGAGATGGCTTATAGAAAGGGGACAGACACCTGAAAGACAGATCACGTGGTACATATCAGATGCATGTGAACATCATTTGCAATAGAACTGTGATGTAACATTCAACTACTTTCAACACACAGTGGGAGCACATGCAAGCCTAGACTGAAGAGGACTGGTCCATCTTGTTCTATGCTGCACTTGAGATCCCTCAGTATGGAAAGGGAAGGCGGTAAACACGGTACTGGTGGTGAGGGTAGAGGGGAAGAGAGAGGGTAAGCAAAGGGAGGAGGGAGCATAAGCAGGGTAAAAAGGGAGGACAGAGAATAAGCAAACTCGAAGGAGCTGATTGGATTGTAAGGGGGTGGAGAGGCATTGCGGCAAGCAGAGGGGGAAAATGAGCGAAAGGAGGGTGAGAAATAGGGGAAGCAGGTGGGGAAGGGAGGATAAGCATGGGGGGAAAGGAGAGGAGGCAGGGGGGGAAAGGAAGGGAAGCCGTGGGGGAAAAGGGGGGAAGCAGGGAGGGAAAGGAGGTGAAGGAGGGGCGGTAAGGAGGTGAAGCATGGGGGTGAAGGAGAGCAAGCAAGGGGGGGAAAGCAGGGGAAAACAGGGGATGTGGGGGGAAGCGAAGAGAAGCATGGGGGGCAAGGAGGGGAAGCAGGTGGAGAAAGGAGGGCATGCAGGGGGGGAAGGAGGTGAAGCATAAGGGGAAAGGAGGGGAAGAAGAGGGGGAAATAAGGGGAAGCAGAGGGGGTAACGAGGGGGAGCAGAGGGGGAAATAAGGGGAAGGAGAGGGGGGAACGAGGGGGAGCAGAGGGGGAAAGAAGGGGAAGGAGAGGGGGAAACGAGGGGAAGCAGAGGGGGAAACAAGGGGAAGGAGAGGGGGGAACGAGGGGGAGCAGAGGGGGAAACAAGGGGAAGGAGAGGGGGAACGAGGGGGAGCAGAGGGGGAAACAAGGGGAAGGAGAGGGGGGAACGAGGGGGAGCAGAGGGGGAAAGAAGGGGAAGGAGAGGGGGAAACGAGGGGAAGCAGAGGGGGAAACAAGGGGAAGGAGAGGTGGGAACGAGGGGGAGCAGAGGGGGAAATAAGGGAAGGAGAGGGCGGAACGAGGGGGAGCAGAGGGGGAAATAAGGGGAAGGAAAGGGGGGAACGAGGGGGAGCAGAGGGGGAAACAAGGGGAAGGAGAGGGGGGAACGAGGGGAGCAGAGGGGGAAAGAAGGGGAAGGAGAGGGGGAAACGAGGGGAAGCAGAGGGGGAAACAAGGGGAAGGAGAGGTGGGAACGAGGGGGAGCAGAGGGGGAAATAAGGGAAGGAGAGGGCGGAACGAGGGGGAGCAGAGGGGGAAATAAGGGGAAGGAAAGGGGGGAACGAGGGGGAGCAGAGGGGGAAACAAGGGGAAGGAGAGGGGGGAACGAGGGGGAGCAGAGGGGGAAACAAGGGGAAGGAGAGGGGGGAACGAGGGGAAGCAGAGGGGGAAACAAGGGGAAGGAGAGGGGGAACGAGGGGGAGCAGAGGGGGAAACAAGGGGAAGGAGAGGGGGGAACGAGGGGGGAGTAGAGTTGGAAATAAGGGGAAGGAGAGGGGGGAACGAGGGGAAGCAGAGGAAGAAATAAGGGGAAGGAGAGGCTGGAACGAGGGGGAGTAGAGGGGGAAATAAGGGAAGGTGAGGCGTTAAGCGGTGAGGCACTAAGCGGTGAGGCGCTAAGCGGTGAGGCGCGCAGCGGGTAGGAGAGACGCGGGTGACGCGCTAAGAGGGTGTCGTGAGCTGCGGGTTCGGCGATCGAGCTGCGGGTTCGGCGATCGAGCTGCGGGTTCGGCGATCGAGCTGCGGGTTCGGCGAGAACGTCGCCGGCGACGGGAACGCATGGAATGCGGCGCTTAGGACGAAGGCTAGTCCTACATCTATTGCGAGGCCTTTGAACGAGTCTATTCATGAGAGAGTGAGGTGTTTGTAGAAATGGTTTCTAAGTAATCTCGCGAGCCAGCCTTGTGACACTTGTCGCCTCGACACCAGCGTTTTTCTTTAGCGCCAGCGCTGTTCCTCGCCGCCCTAGTTGCCTATTGTATAGTTGTATCGAAGGCCTTTCCTAAAAATTAGTCGCTCCGTTGGTCTGTTCGTGTCACTCCAGGGCTTGGGTTGACGGGAGACTTTCTCGTGTTCGCAACAATCAGCCATCCAAATTTTCGCCGATTCTCTCGCCAAGCCCATTCGCTTCTCGTTTGGGTTTGCTTTTGGTGGGTACTGTTCCAAAACAAACAGTACTTTCAAATGTATACCGCCGCTTTAAACAATAACAGAGATCTAGCGTAGACCTCGCCGAATTGTTGACATTTCCCGCCCCCTTGCGTTTGGATATTTTATTTTGCTGTTTAGTTCGCGAGCCGTGCTGGCCGAATGCTGTACGGGGCTTCACTGTTTCACTGTGTCGCTCGCAAGCCAGTTGCCAGAATAGTTCCTTCCTTGTTCGAGCCTTTTGTTCAGAAAGCAAGCAACTGTGCCAATGCGCCTCGGACTGCTGCATCGCTGGAAAGATCGGTTTGCCAGCATGGCACAAACATGCCAAGCCGTTGACATTCCGTTCCCAGACACTTTCGATGGAGGTCGGCGCAAGGTTGAACAGGTGTAACTGAGGCGGTGCTGTACGGTACTGTGTCGGGATGGTGGCGACTGGGGTTGCATTCAATTACTGTATGATCCGCGACTGGGGATTTCGGTTTCCCCCAGCGCCTTGATGGACTGCGGGTGTTGCGGTGCGCGACTGCGTGGGTCATAGGATGGGATGGGAAGGATCCGCGGACCTCTCTGGGAAAACCTCACTCGTACTAGCGGCTTCGCGTGAGTTTTTTTCGGAGAGGTGTGCCACCGAATTTGCGGATGGCGAGTTGAGGTTATTGCCAGCGCCAGCAAGGACAAGTGAGCACGTGCACTGTCCGCCGCACCCGCTACACGAGAGATTTATCACAGCAGCAGCATTGCTCGCCTCGCATCGCATCGCCCCATTTTGTGGAACTTCGTGTTATGACACGAAGCGCAGCAGCATTGCTCGCATCTTGTGGAACTTCGTGTTATGAGTCCACGCAGCAGTGCTCGCATCTTCTGAAAACTTCAGGTGCATTGCATTGGGTGCGCCGCGACGAGATATTTAGGACCAATACTAGAACACGTCCCTTGAGCAGTCTAGTAGTACCACTACCAGTAAGGTTATCGGGCGACAAGATGTCGCTGGATCATCTCGCGCCGCCAGTCGCGCCGCTGCTGATTCGGCTCCTGATATTTGTCTTAACCTGCGCGGTTCGAGGAGCGGCAGCGGCTCCTGTGATTCTTGACGCCGGTCAAAGTGCGTGACTTCCAATCATCCGAAACCCTAAAATTTTATGTGACATAGCACCCGATGCGGACTCTCGAGGCGCCTCAGTAGTCCCCTCCCTTTCCCCCCTCCCTGTTCACTCTCTCGCTCTCTCAGGATACGCTCTGGAGAAGATTTTTAGTGCGTCGCCCGCCATGGTGGTGGAGGAGGACTACAGCTGCACCCCGGGGGAATCCTCTCTCATCGTTTGCAACGCCAGGGGCGCTGTGTCTCAGCTGTGAGTGACAAGCTCGTTTGACGATGAAGCCTCCTCCTTACCTCCTTCCTCTTCTCCCTTCCCCCATACCCGCTCAACCCCTTCGCTCCCCCAGTCTCCCCCTTCCCGGCCTTCTAAAAGCTCTCTTTCTACGACTCGGATCCGCCTCGTTGTGTGAGAGACGTCTGCTGCCCCCCATATTGCTCTCTGTCAACTCTCGTGATTTTGAGTCGTTCCGAACACTTTCCGACCCTTCTTGGCTCCCCCCCCCCCCCCCCCCCCCCCCCCCCCCCCCCCCCCCCCCCCCCCACCTGCAGGTCGCTCTACTCCATGACTGAGCTGCCTTCTGAGATTCTCCAACGCTCACGCCTCTCCCCACCCTTAACCCCTCCTCTTCCCCTCCTTCCCCATCTCCTCTTCGCCCCTGCAGGTCGCTCTATTCCATGAGTGATTCGCCTTCCGAGATTCTCCAACGCTCACGCCTCTCCCCACCCTCCTTACCCCCCTCCTCTCCCCCTCCCCCATCTCCTCCACCACCCTGCAGGTCGCTCTACTCCATGACTGAGCTGCCTTCCGAGATTCTCCGACTGTCACGCCTGGAGTCACTGTGAGTGACGGTCGCCACGATGATTCTAGACTAAGGCAGAGCATTTGCAAAAAGAAGTGTTTCGAGACGTCTCAAAACACTTCTTTTTACACCTGGAGTCACTGTGAGTGACGGTCGTCGCGATGATTCTAGACTAAGGCAGAGCATATTTTTGAGGCGCCTCAAAAATAGACTCCTCTCGTGCCTGGAGTCACTGTTCGTGGCGGTCGCCACGATGATTCTAGGTCTAGACTAAGGCAGAGCGTTTGCAGAGGTTAACTGCCACCGAAACCAGTCATGCAACATGTTTTGAGTGACCGTGAGAGAGAGGCGTTGCACACAAGCTTGAGTGAAGCTGGTTGAGTGTTTCCATAGTAGCTGCCTACCTGAGCACTTTCAATGTGTTTCCATAGTAGCTGCCTACCTGAGCACTTTCAATGTGTTTCCATAGTAGCTGCCTACCTGAGCACTTTCAATGTGTTTCCATAGTAGCTGCCTACCTGAGCACTTTCAATGTGTTTCCATAGCAACTGCCTACCTGAGCACTTTCAATGTGTTTCCATAGTAACTGCCTACCTGAGCACTTTCAATGTGTTTCCATAGCAACTGCCTATCTGAGCACTTTCAATGTGTTTCCATAGCAACTGCCTATCTGAGCACTTTCAATGTGTTTCCATAGTAACTACATCTGGAATGGTTCCGTCCGCTGATGAACCGTGCATGGTTCTGCTGATGATTCTGGGAATGGTTTGTACATGCCACCATACATCATCTAAATGCCACAATACATCATCTATCTAAATGCCACCATACATCATCTATCTAAATTCCACCATACATCATCTATCTAAATGCCACCATACATCATCTAACGTGAGCCTCCCTCATCCCAACCCTGCCAACCTCATGCCCACACACAACCATCACCCGAGCAGGAGAATGAATGGCGGAGGTGGTGGCTTGTCCAGCCTGCCATCTGTCATCGGCTCACTTTCTTCCCTCACCCACCTGTCAGTCACCTCACCCACCTGTCAGTCACCTCACCCACCTGTCAGTCACCTCACCCACCTGTCAGTCACCTCACCCACCTGTCAGTCACCTCACCCACCTGTCAGTCACCTCACCCACCTGTCAGTCACCTCACCCACCTGTCAGTCACCTCACCCACCTGTCAGTCACCTCACCCACCTGTCAGTCACCTCACCCACCTGTCAGTCACCTCACCCACCTGTCAGTCACCTCACCCACCTGTCAGTCACCTCACCCACCTGTCAGTCACCTCACCCACCTGTCAGTCACCTCACCCACCTGTCAGTCACCTCACCCACCTGTCAGTCACCTCACCCACCTGTCAGTCACCTCACCCACCTGTAACTCACCCGCCCCCAATTTCCTGCTAGTCGCGCGTTCCCTTTTCGCCGCTCCCCTCTCCCCTCTCCCCCGCCCCCTCCCCATCCGCTCCAAGCACTTGTGTTAGAGTTGAGCATATGGCCCGTGCGGGTCGGGCCGACCCGACCCACACGTTTTTTTACACGGGTCGGGTCGAGGTTTCCGAGATCCTGGCCCGCGCGGGCTGACCGACCCGACCCGACCAGAAACCCGACCCGAGTACCTAACTCGGGCCGGGTCGGGCCAGGTTTCGGGTCGGGTTAGGCCTGACCCGATTTCGGGCCGAAATTGTGGAAATCGGGTCGGGCCGAAGCGCGCGACCCGATTTCGACAGTTGGGGGCCACGCAACCCTAGTTGGAAATGAAATCGACGAGAAGTTCATTTCTTCCCGTCGATTTCGTTTCCCTCCATTCCAGCACCCAAGCACCTAGGGTTCTTAGAGAGAAAGACTTAAGTCCGTCGCATTTGTCACTATTTAGGACTCCACTTACGAAATCGTAGTTCCAAATACTTATGAGCATAGATCAAGGGCGACTCTACGTTCACATAGTGGTGTGGTGGTGGTGCTTCTTCTTAGGGTTATACTGAAGCCATTATTCTACAAGCAAAAGCTGGACGTTTTTTTCCTGCCACACTCCAGCCTTGCCACGTGTGCGTTAGTTGACGCATTTTGACAACGACAACTACAACAGAGAAATTGCACCACATGTACTGAACACCCCCAGCCCCCTGAGAAGGGTCGGGTCATCCCGACCCGACCCGACCCGACCCGACCCCGGGTCACCTTTGACCCGAGTGTGTAGGCCCGGGTCGGCCCAAGACTTTCAACACCCTGGCCCGAGGTTGGCCCGACCCGACCCGACCCGGGAGCCTGTATGGCCCGGTCAACTCGGGTCGGGTCGGGTCGGGTCGGGCCGGATGCTCAACTCTGACTTGTGTTCCTTCCTACTCTAGCAGCCCTCTTTTTCCTTCCTCTCCTGCCCCAGACATCATCAGTCTCTTTTACACATATATTTTTACACATATTTTTACCTAAACAACGTAGTTGCTGCCATGTAAAGTCATGGCGCCTAAATGGGGCCCACTCTCCTGCTCCAGACATCATCATGGCACCTAAATGGGGCCCACTCTCTAGATAAGGCACCTAAATGGGGCCCACTCTCTAGATAAGGCACCTAAATGGGGCCCACTCTCTAGATAAGGCACCTAAATGGGGCCCACTCTCTAGATAAGGCACCTAAATGGGGCCCACTCTCTAGATAAGGCACCTAAATGGGGCCCACTCTCTAGATAAGGCACCTAAATGGGGCCCACTCTCTAGATAAGGCACCTAAATGGGGCCCACTCTCCTACTCCAGACATCATCAGTTGACTTTTGCAGTGTACTCACTTCTCCCTCCCTTCTCTACTCCTCCCTCCTCTCTACTCCCTCCCTTCTCTACTCCCTCCCTTCTCTACTCCCTCCCTTCTCTACTCCCTCCCTTCTCTACTCCCTCCCTTCTCTACTCCCTCCCTTCTCTACTCCCTCCCTTCTCTACTCCCTCCCTTCTCTACTCCCTCCCTTCTCTACTCCCTCCCTTCTCTACTCCCTCCCTTCTCTCTCCCTCCCTTCTCTTCTCCCTCCCTTCTCTTCTCCTTCCCTTCTCTTCTCCCTCCCTTCTCTTCTCTCCTTCCCTTCTCTTCTCCTTCCCTTCTCTTCTCCTCTCCTTCCCTTCTCTTCTCTCTTCTCTTCTCCCTTCCTTCTCTTCTCCCTCCCTTCTCTCTTCGCTGCGGTTTGAACTCTTCGACTCCTCTGCAAGAGGCCACAACAGCATGCACCCCTCCTTCTCCCTCTTTTTCCTCCCTCCCTCCATCCCTCCCTCCCTCACTCTCTCCCTCCCTCCCTCCCTCTTTCCCTCCCTCCCTCTTTTCCTCCCTCCCTCCATCCCTCCCTCCATCCCCCCCTCCCCCCTCCCTCCCTCCCTCCTCCCCCCCCCCTCCCTCCCCTCCCTCCCTCCCTCCCTCCCTCCCTCCCTCCCTCCTTCCTCCCTCCCTCCCTCCCTCCCTCCCTCCCTCCCTCCCTCCCTCCCTCCCTCCCTCCCTCCCTCCCTCCCTCCCTCCCTCCCTCCCTCCCTCCCTTCCCTCCCTCCCTCCCTCCCTCCCTCCCTCCCTCCCTCCCTCCCTCCCTCCCTCCTCCCTCCCTCCCTCCCTCCCTCCCTCCCTCCCTCCCTCCCTCCCTCCCTCCCTCCCCCCCCCCCTTCCCTGCCTCCCTGCCTCCCTCCCTCCTCGTCGCACAGGCACATCGAATCAGCAGTCACTGGCGGCGGCATCCCGACCTCCTTCATTTTTGAGGCGCCTCAAAAATACCCTCCCCCCCCCCCTCCCTGCCTCCCTGCCTCCCTCCCTGCCTCCTCGTCGCACAGGCACATCGAATCAGCAGTCACTGGCGGCGGTATCCCGACCTCCTTGAGCCAACTCAAGAAGCTGCGTCACTTGTAGGCGATTTGCTTCCCACATTTCGTTGCAATATGTTTTCCCACAAGGGCACAATACACACTTGCCCCTCTCAACAGAAAGACTTTTGATCCTCCTCTGTCGACTGAAAAGTCACCTATGTTTTCCCACAAGGGCACAATACGCACTTGCCCCTCTCAACAGAAACTATGTTCCTTACCAGGACACGTGTCCCTTCCAGGAAACTAGTCGGCTAGAAGCTTGAGGGTTCCAGACTCACTCACTTTCTCTCCATTTATTTCCCACCTTCCTGTGTTCCCAATCAGAAAACTGGTCAGCAACAATCTGGAGGGTTCAATACCCGAGTCCCTCTCTGCGCTCACTGCTCTCACACTCCTGTATGCTCTCACACTCCTCTATGCTCGCACACTCCTCTATGCTCGCACACTCCTCTATGCTCTCACACTCCTCTATGCTCTCACACTCCTGTATGCTCTCACACTCCTCTATGCTCGCACACTCCTCTATGCTCTCACACTCCTCTATGCTCTCACACTCCTGTCTGCTCTCACACTCCTGTCTGCTCGCACACTCCTGTCTGCTCTCACACTCCTGTCTGCTCTCACACTCCTGTCTGATCTCACACTCCTGTCTGCTCTCACACTCCTGTCTGCTCTCACACTCCTGTACACTCGCACACTCCTGTCTGCTCGCACACCTGTAGACCGCTGCTGGAAGTGGCAGCAGGTGGCCAGACCAGATAGACGCACATTCTGGTGTAGGCCAATGCCCCATATATGCGAACACCGTGTAGGCCAATGCCCCATATATGCGAACAGCGTGTAGGCCAATGCCCCATATATGCGAACAGCGTGTAGGCCAATGCCCCATATATGCGAACAGCGTGTAGGCCAATGCCCCATATATGCGAACACCGTGTAGGCCAATGCCCCATATATGCGAACAGCGTGTAGGCCAATGCCCCATATATGCGAACACCGTGTAGGCCAATGCCCCATATATGCGAACACCGTGTAGGCCAATGCCCCATATATGCGAACAGCGTGTAGGCCAATGCCCCATATATGCGAACACCGTGTAGGCCAATGCCCCATATATGCGAACACCGTGTAGGCCAATGCCCCATATATGCGAACACCGTGTAGGCCAATGCCCCATATATGCGAACACCGTGTAGGCCAATGCCCCATATATGCGAACACCGTGTAGGCCAATGCCCCATATATGCGAACAGCGTGTAGGCCAATGCCCCATATATGCGAACAGCGTGTAGGCCAACGCCCCATATACGCGAACACCGTGTAGGCCAATGCCCCATATATGCGAACACCGTGTAGGCCAATGCCCCATATATGCGAACAGCGTGTAGGCCAATGCCCCATATATGCGAACACCGTGTAGGCCAATGCCCCATATATGCGAACACCGTGTAGGCCAATGCCCCATATATGCGAACACCGTGTAGGCCAATGCCCCATATATGCGAACAGCGTGTAGGCCAATGCCCCATATATGCGAACAGCGTGTAGGCCAATGCCCCATATATGCGAACACCGTGTAGGCCAATGCCCCATATATGCGAACACCGTGTAGGCCAATGCCCCATATATGCAAACACCGTGTAGGCCAATGCCCCATATATGCGAACACCGTGTAGGCCAATGCCCCATGTATGCGAACAGCGTGTAGGCCAATGCCCCATATATGCGAACACCGTGTAGGCCAATGCCCCATATATGCGAACAGCGTGTAGGCCAATGCCCCATATATGCGAACACCGTGTAGGCCAATGCCCCATATATGCGAACACCGTGTAGGCCAATGCCCCATATATGCGAACACCGTGTAGGCCAATGCCCCATATATGCGAACAGCGTGTAGGCCAATGCCCCATATATGCGAACACCGTGTAGGCCAATGCCCCATATATGCGAACAGCGTGTAGGCCAATGCCCCATATATGCGAACACCGTGTAGGCCAATGCCCCATATATGCGAACAGCGTGTAGGCCAATGCCCCATATATGCGAACAGCGTGTAGGCCAATGCCCCATATATGCGAACAGCGTGTAGGCCAATGCCCCATATATGCGAACACCGTGTAGGCCAATGCCCCATATATGCGAACACCGTGTAGGCCAATGCCCCATATATGCGAACACCGTGTAGGCCAATGCCCCATATATGCGAACACCGTGTAGGCCAATGCCCCATATATGCAAACACCGTGTAGGCCAATGCCCCATATATGCGAACACCGTGTAGGCCAATGCCCCATATATGCGAACACCGTGTAGGCCAATGCCCCATATATGCGAACACCGTGTAGGCCAATGCCCCATATATGCGAACACCGTGTAGGCCAATGCCCCATATATGCGAACACCGTGTAGGCCAATGCCCCATATATGCGAACAGCGTGTAGGCCAATGCCCCATATATGCGAACACCGTGTAGGCCAATGCCCCATATATGCGAACAGCGTGTAGGCCAATGCCCCATATGCGAACACCGTGTAGGCCAATGCCCCATATATGCAAACACCGTGTAGGCCAATGCCCCATATATGCGAACACCGTATAGGCGAACATCCCATATGCGAACACCGTATAGGCCAACACCCCATATGCGAACACTGTATAGGCCAACAACACCCCATATGTGAACACCGTATAGGCCAACACCCCATAGGTGAACACCGTATAGGCCAACACCCCATATGCGAACACCGTATAGGCCAACAACACCCCATATGTGAACACCGTATAGGCCAACACCCCATAGGTGGAAGGACAGCGCCTATATGAACTGCCACATGAAGAAGAAAAGCAGTATGATTTAGGGTGTTTTTGAGAATTCTCAAAAACACCCTGCACCTTAGGTGGAAGGACAGCGCCTATATGAACTTGTTTTGAGACGTCTCAAAACGCGCCTATATGAACTGCCACATGAAGAAGAAAAGCAGTGTGAAGGATACCTCAGCAAAGAAGGATAGTCACTTACTGAGAACCCTGATCTCTCTAGCTGACTTTTGAGTCGACTCAAAAGTTAACCCTGATCTCTCTACCTCCACTCCTCTCTGCTGCCCTTCCACTCTCGCAGGTCCCTCTCTGTCAACCAGTTCAATTCTTCCATTCCTGCAAGGCTCAAATCCCTTCAGAAGCTAGCATCGATGTAAGCCCATGGTAACACTCAGTTACCTTGTGAGTCAACTCAGTTGCCATGATGCAGCTAGCATGGATGTATGTCCATAGTTTTAGTCAGCTACCTTGATGCGTTTGCTCAAATGCAAGTCTATTCTCACATGCTAATCTATGGCCCGCCCTGCCCATGCGCATAACCTGCGAATTCTACTAGTAGACGGCACGTTCTATGATGTTTTGAGAATTCTCAAAAACACCCTGCCCATGCGCATAACCCATTTCTTCCCCCCCTGCCACATCAATAATCATTCACACAAACAGCGAACTCAGCAACAACAAGCTCTCGGGCTCCATCGTTCCCCTCGCTTCCCTGCGAGGGCTCGACACCATGTGTGCTGCGCCCCCCCCTCCCTCCCCTTCTGCTCTCATCTCTCTCCACGTCCACCTCATAATCCTCTCCTCGTGGTCCTCTCCTTCATCTCCGCATTTTGAGTTGATTTAAAACACGACTCTCACATCTTTCCATGTTCACCTCACAATTCTCAACTCCATCTCCCCCCCTGTACCATACTGTACCCCACCAAACGACCCCATGGGACAGCAATATCGCCTTTAACTCCTTTGACTCATGCCTTCCAGTTTCCATCAGCAATTTGAAGCGGCTAAGTCAACTGTAAGTTGCTGCTAGCTTCCCACCCAGTCTTCTTAGCAGATTGAAGCAGGGTATATCGATGAGGGTTTTTTTTTTTTTTTTTTTTTTTTTTTTTGGAATGAGTGCATATAAGACCGAGCTGGTCTGCATATAAGGCCGGACCAGACTGCATTTATGGCCGGGCCGGCTGGTCTGGCCCATCTCTCCTGTTCAGGCACAGTCGCGACTTTTGAGTCGACTCAAAAGTCTTCCCCCGCTCCCCTTTTTCCCACTCGTGACTTTTGAGTCGACTCAAAAGTCGGCCGGCTGGCCTGGCCCATCTCTCCTGTTCAGGCACAGTCGTTGTGGACCAAGGGTTGTTGCTGCCTTTAGTTTAGTGAGTCTATTTTTTAGTCGACTCAAAAATGGACTCACTACACGTCGTTGTGGACCAAGGGTTGTTGCCGCATTTCAATGCTTCAACAACTGAAACAGGCCGATTCCCCTCTTGTCTTTGGAATCCATGCTTTGTGGTAGAGGGTGTTTGTATGAAGAATTTGATGTTCTATATTTGGTAATGTGGTAGAGGGTGTTTGTATGAAGAATTTGATGTTCTATATTTGGTAATGTGGTAGAGGATGCTTGTATCAAGAATTTGATGTTCTATATTTGGTAATGTGGTAGAGGATTTCTACATCAAGATATTAATGTTTGATATTCAGTGATGAAGTATGTGGTAGAGCTCCTTCATTAAGCATTGTCTCTGTATGTTTATAAAGCAGTGAATATTGTAAATCACACACATCTGCCTGCATTGCGACTTTTGAGACGTCTCAAAAGTTGTCTCTGTATGTTTATAAAGCAGTGAATGTTTCCAATCACACACATCTGCCTGCATTGCGTGTGTTCACTGTTCATTCAGGTCCCTTCAGAACAATGCGTTCAACGGGTCCTTACCTGCTTCCATCTCAAAGCTCGCTAACCTTGTTCTTCTGTAAGTGCTGCTTTAGAGTTTTGAGGCGTCTCGACTTTGAGACGTCTCTCCTTTGAGACGTCTCTACTTTGAGACGTCTCTACTTTGAGACGTCTCTACTTTGAGACGTCTCTACTTTGAGATGTCTCTACTTTGAGACGTCTCAAGGCTCTATCCCTGCTTGCATCTCAAAGCTCGCTAACCTTTTTCTTTTGTAAGTGCTGCTTTCTATGTTGCTATATTTTCCAGTGAGTGTGAGAGGGTACCTACCGAACACGTGTGTCCGAAGTAGGTCGAACCGGCCGGGATGCGGAACGGAACCAGTGCTGGTTTGCCTTTTTTTAGAACTATAAGAAGGAAGTAGATTCAGATGGTTCTCCTCCTCCGACCGAACCGTGCTACTCTCGTGCCAATATGTTATTAGTTCTCTGATTTCTTGACTTTTTTTATGGGTAGATCACGGCTGCACTCACTCGCTCACTCATTCAACTGCTATGCCATGTGCTTACGATGGCATGGTGGGGCGGGGCATGTTAAATGGTGCATCCATTCATGATGTGATAGTACAGGAATTTGAGGGTCAACCACATCACTGGCTCTATACCTAAGGGCATTGGCTCCTTGAAGAAGCTCAAAGCCTTGTACGCTTTATAGCATGCCCCACAAGAAGCTGTTATTCTGCCTTCCTTTACATTTCATGCCCCATTATATCCTCAACCCGATACTCCTGGATGTTACCTTGGGCATGATGAGCATGGGTACGAAGTGGACTTACCAAGTCTCGTTTTTACCCACTTGCTGCGGTTCGAACCCACATCTTCATACTTCTGGATGTTACCTTGGGCATGATGAGCATGAGTACGAAAGTCACTTTTGAGAAATTTCAAAAGTTCTTCCATCCTTCCTTGGCATTCCATTCCCAGCCCCTCGCTCTTGCCTTGAGCTCTCACTGCCGGCCCAGGCCATTTTCCGGCCGGATTCGGGCCATGGGTTGCACATGTCACTTCTTAGGTCTGACTTTTGGGTCGACTCAAAAGTCAGCTCGGATTCGGGCCATGGGTTGCACATGTCACTTCTTAGGTCTGACTTTTGGGTCGACTCAAAAGTCAGCTCGGATTCGGGCCATGGGTTGCACATGTCACTTCTTAGGTCTGACTTTTGGGTCGACTCAAAAGTCAGCTCGGATTCGGGCCATGGGTTGCACATGTCACTTCTTAGGTCTGACTTTTGGGTCGACTCAAAAGTCAGCTCGGATTCGGGCCATGGGTTGCACATGTCACTTCTTAGGTCTGACTTTTGGGTCGACTCAAAAGTCAGCTCGGATTCTGGCCATGGGTTGCACATGTCACTTCTTAGGTCGCGGCAAAAACTGGGCTGAAAGTTTGAACTTATTTTTGAATTCCGATTCTGAATTTCGCTTTTAAGGTTTTCTTTCCAACTTTCTTGTGATATTGAAGTGTAGAGCATGGTATTTGTGCAAGCTGCCACACGGGTTACCTAAAAAAAATAAAAGAAATTTGAAATGATGTGAGTATAGTGAAAGTGAAGTCAAGAGCAAGCCGCGAATTCCCGACCGTACTACTCGAGCCACGGCTATTTTTTTTTCCAAAAGACTGGGCCGATCCCGGCCCTTATGCCGAAGCTATGCGTGTAGAAGCATATTTTGAGGCGCCCCAAATGCCGAAGCTATGTGTTAAGAAGCATGTGCTTCGTTGAAGAACCGATGAATGGTCCCCAGAAATTGTGGTCTTCAAATACTGTATTCAAACCTCCAAATACTGTATATTGCTCTCACGCTTGGACTTGCGCCAACTGAACCCTCTCTCTCCCCCATCCCTACCACGACCAACCACCCTTGCACAAAGCAGGGACCTGTCTTACAACCCCATTTCAGGGAGTTTACCGTCAACCATGGGATCCTTAAAATCACTCGTGATGATGTGAGCATGTCAATGGCATGATGTGAGCATGTCAATGGCATGTTGTGAGCTTATGTCTTATTCAGTCAGTGCCATGTTGTTCCCATGGCTTATATCCCAACACCAAGAGTTTTGAGGCGCCTCAAAATTTTTGACTTTTGAGGCGCCTCAAAAGTCGTCTCTTATTCAGTCAGTGCCATGTTGTTCCCATGGCGTATATCCCATGTTCTATATTTGGTAATGTGCTAGAGGATGCTTGTATCAAGAATTTGATGCTTATGTCTTATTCAGTCAGTGCCATGTTGTTCCCATGGCGTATATCCCAACACCAAGAGACGACTTTTGAGGCGCCTCAAAAGTCGTCAGTGCCATGTTGTTCCCGTGGCTCATATCCCATATTGTTCCCATGGCTTATATCCCAACACCAAGAGTCAAGACCGTCGCACAAGCAGATGTTACAACTCTGTGTTCGCCGTTCCCCTTCCATTCCTTCTTGCTGCAGCAACATCAGCTTTCACGACTCTCCTTGGCTTTTGAGTCAACCCAAAAGTCATCTTGCTGCAGCAACATCAGCTTTCACGACTCTCCTTGGCTTTCCCCCTTGCCTTACATACACTTCCCAACCTTCGTTAGTCTGCCTGCTTCAACTCAACACTGCCCCCCAGCTTGCCATCTCTGCTGCAGGGACATCAAGTCAGCAAAGCTGAACGGCTCTCTGCCTCCCACGTTTACAAAACTCCAAGTGCTTGAGGGCATGTAAGGCATTGTAGCTGCTGTTGAGTTGACTATGTACTATGTAGCTGTTGTTTGCTCCAGTGTACTATGTACCTCCATCCATTCCTTTATCTCTTACTCAACGTGTCACCCCATGTGTCACCCCATGTGTCACCCCATGTGTCACCCCATGTGTCACCCCATGTGTCACCCCATGTGTCACCCCATGTGTCACCCCATGTGTCACCCCATGTGTCACCCCATGTGTCACCCCATGTGTTACTCCATGCATTCTTCCATGCTTCCTCCATGCTTCCTCCATGTATTCCTTTTCATTCCTCTTCCCTCAGCACCTTGGCCAACAACCAGCTCTCCGGCTCGTTCCCCGCCTTCCTCGCCCACCTCTCATCTCTTGCTATCATGTAAGCATGATGTAAGCATGATGGAAGAGTATGGTCGCATCACATGAGCCATCACATCTTAATCACGCTTACATCCACAACTTTCAGAACCGTTTCTAATCCTGCAGAAAACCGATCCTGAGGGCGATCGATCCAGGCAATGTAACACGTCTTTAAGGGAAATCGTGGGAACTTGAAAGAATCCGCGCAACCCAAGCCACCCTCGTGACAAGAGCGGCGCTTGAAGAGACTTTTGAATCGACCCAAATGTCACCTCGTGACAGGGGCGGCACTTGAACTGAACTGTATTTGTCTCGATAAGTTTAAAGCATAAAGAGTGTCGGACGTAAAGAGTGAGTGTCGAGCATAAAGAGTGCCGGACGTAAAGAGTGAGTGCCGAACATAAAGAGGGTCGGACGTAAAGAGTGCCGGTCATAAAGAGTGTCTGACATAAAGAGGATCCAATGTGACTACAGCCACTCTCGTCCCCACCAAACTGCCTGGGTGTGTCAAACGTGTTGTGAGCGAGTAAAGGAGAGGAGGGGATTTGGATGTGAGGCTGTGCGAGGCTCGAGCCGGTTCGACTGGACCCCCAGGCGGAAGGAAAGGACCCACTTTAATCTCCTGCTTGATGTTTCCTCCTAGTAGCACCCCCCCTACTGTCCCATTCGTCCTAATAACCTTTCACTCTTTTTTTTTTTGTTTAAATCTCCTCCTCTCCTACTCTCCCACCGTATGCATGCCATGCCTCCTTTTGTCTCCTCTCATCGTCGGCAGTGACATGTCTGCCAACGGGATCAACGGCTCTCTTCCCTCCTCACTCGGAAACTTCTCCAATCTCTTTAGGCTGTACGCATGCGTTGCAGTGGGAAATCTGAGATGTCTAAAGAAACCTCAGAGGCTGCTTGCTAGAGGTGTGTTTTGAGTCGACTCAAAACACACCTTTCTTTCCGGTTCAGAAACCTCTGAACGTGCTTGCTAGAGGTGTGGGATTTCTTTCCGGTTCTTTCCGGTTCTTTCCGGTTCTTTCCGGTTCCTGAACGTGCTTGCTAGAGGTGTGGGATTTCTTTCCAAGAGCTGCTGCTTCCGTTTGCCTTCCTTGTGTCTCAGATTGCGCCGATTTTTTGGTCGACTCGAAAACTGCTGCTTCCGTTTGCCTTCCTTGTGTCTCAGATTGCGCCGATTTTTTGGTCGACTCGATAACTGCTGCTTCCGTTTGCCTTCCTTGTGTCTCAGATTGCGCCGATTTTTTTTAGCACCACTCACAGTGTCTCAAATCTCGATAACTGCTGCTTCTGTTTGCCTTCCGCGTGTCCCAGATTGTGCCATCTATGAAAGGATATATCTGGAGTTTCATTCCCATTGCAATTTTGCACGAATGCAGCGATCTGACCAACAACAGCATCAGCGGAAGCATACCAGAGTCCATCGGCCTTCTAACTGGCTTGGATACGCTGTAAGTCGAGACCACACTGCTCTCCATCTTTTAGAAAGTGAATTTGAGTCGACTCAAGAACCTTGGATACCCTGTAAACCGTGACTAGGGTGTTATTGAAAACTCTAAAAAAATCCCTGATCGGCCTTCTAACTGTCTTAGATACCCTGAAAGTCGAGACGAAACTTCCGTCCACCTTTCTGGAGCCTAAGTTGGAATATACGCTACTTTGCTTTTGCGTATTGCGTTTATACTCTTATCAAATTCGTACGCTGCGTATAATTTGAAAATTCGCCAAGTTGAATTTCGGGCAGACCGAAAAAAACAATCATTCTGAAGCTCGCGACGTGGCGGTCTCAATTTCGAGTCGCAGATGTTGCGAACTGAACTCGAATTTTGAATTTCCAACCCAAACCAATCTCCCAGGCACAAAGAGTGGCATTTGCTCACTCGATATGCATTCTCTCGCTTCCTATGGACCTGTAGAGTAGGGGGAGGGGTGGTAGCATAAATGTGGTGGAGGAAGATCTAGTGGTAAATTAGTTTTACGGGTTTTTTTTGTCTGTAACTTTCATATTAATAAAAAGGGGATGGGGGTTACATCACCTCACCCCCCCATCCCCACCTCTTACCCCAAAAATCTGCCCAGGAATTTTTTTTTGCCTGCCCGGGCAAGCGTATTCTTGTGCGTACCAGACCCCTCAGGGCATGCGTATAGCGTTTATACTCTCGCGTATATGCGCGGAGCGTACAAAACGCTATACGCGTATATTCCAACTTAGTCTGGAGCACCTGCCATGCATGCGTGCTCCCAATCCCATCATCGATGTAGTCGTGGCATGCCATGCATGCGTGCTCCCAATCCCATCATCGATGTAGTCATGGCATGCCATGCATGCGTGCTCCCAATCCCATCATTGATGTAGTCTTGGCATGCCATGCATGCGAGCTCCCAATCCCATCATTGATTAGTCTTTGCATGCCATGCATGCGTGCTCCCAATCCCATCATTGATTAGTCTTTGCATGCCATGCATGCGTGCTCCCAATCCCATCATTGATTAGTCTTTGCATGCCATGCATGCGTGCTCCCAATCCCATCATTGATTAGTCTTTGCATGCCATGCATGCGTGCTCCCAATCCCATCATTGATTAGTCTTTGCATGCCATGCATGCGTGCTCCCAATCCCATCATTGATTAGTCTTTGCATGCCATGCATGCGTGCTCCCAATCCCATCATTGATTAGTCTTTGCATGCCATGCATGCGTGCTCCCAATCCCATCATTGATTAGTCTTTGCATGCCATGCATGCGTGCTCCCAATCCCATCATTGATTAGTCTTTGCATGCCATGCATGCGTGCTCCCAATCCCATCATTGATTAGTCTTTGCATGCCATGCATGCGTGCTCCCAATCCCATCATTGATTAGTCTTTGCATGCCATGCATGCGTGCTCCCAATCCCATCATTGATTAGTCTTTGCATGCCATGCATGCGTGCTCCCAATCCCATCATTGATTAGTCTTTGCATGCCATGCATGCGTGCTCTCAATCCCATCATTGATTAGTCTTTGCATGCCATGCATGCGTGCTCTCAATCCCATCATTGATTAGTCTTTGCATGCCATGCATGCGTGCTCTCAATCCCATCATTGATTAGTCTTTGCATGCCATGCATGCGTGCTCTCAATCCCATCATTGATTAGTCTTTGCATGCCATGCATGCGTGCTCTCAATCCCATCATTGATTAGTCTTTGCATGCCATGCATGCGTGCTCTCAATCCCATCATTGATTAGTCTTTGCATGCCATGCATGCGTGCTCTCAATCCCATCATTGATTAGTCTTTGCATGCCATGCATGCGTGCTCCCAATCCCATCATTGATTAGTCTTTGCATGCCATGCATGCGTGCTCTCAATCCCATCATTGATTAGTCTTTGCATGCCATGCATGCGTGCTCCCAATCCCATCATTGATTAGTCTTTGCATGCCATGCATGCGTGCTCTCAATCCCATCATTGATTAGTCTTTGCATGCCATGCATGCGTGCTCTCAATCCCATCATTGATTAGTCTTTGCATGCCATGCATGCGTGCTCTCAATCCCATCATTGATTAGTCTTTGCATGCCATGCATGCGTGCTCTCAATCCCATCATTGATTAGTCTTTGCATGCCATGCATGCGTGCTCTCAATCCCATCATTGATTAGTCTTTGCATGCCATGCATGCGTGCTCTCAATCCCATCATTGATTAGTCTTTGCATGCCATGCATGCGTGCTCTCAATCCCATCATTGATTAGTCTTTGCATGCCATGCATGCGTGCTCCCAATCCCATCATTGATTAGTCTTTGCATGCCATGCATGCGTGCTCCCAATCCCATCATTGATTAGTCTTTGCATGCCATGCATGCGTGCTCCCAATCCCATCATTGATTAGTCTTTGCATGCCATGCATGCGTGCTCCCAATCCCATCATTGATTAGTCTTTGCATGCCATGCATGCGTGCTCTCAATCCCATCATTGATTAGTCTTTGCATGCCATGCATGCGTGCTCTCAATCCCATCATTGATTAGTCTTTGCATGCCATGCATGCGTGCTCTCAATCCCATCATTGATTAGTCTTTGCATGCCATGCATGCGTGCTCTCAATCCCATCATTGATTAGTCTTTGCATGCCATGCATGCGTGCTCTCAATCCCATCATTGATTAGTCTTTGCATGCCATGCATGCGTGCTCTCAATCCCATCATTGATTAGTCTTTGCATGCCATGCATGCGTGCTCTCAATCCCTTCATTGATTAGTCTTTGCATGCCATGCATGCGTGCTCTCAATCCCATCATTGATTAGTCTTTGCATGCCATGCATGCGTGCTCTCAATCCCATCATTGATTAGTCTTTGCATGCCATGCATGCGTGCTCTCAATCCCATCATTGATTAGTCTTTGCATGCCATGCATGCGTGCTCTCAATCCCATCATTGATTAGTCTTTGCATGCCATGCATGCGTGCTCTCAATCCCATCATTGATTAGTCTTTGCATGCCATGCATGCGTGCTCTCAATCCCATCATTGATTAGTCTTTGCATGCCATGCATGCGTGCTCTCAATCCCATCATTGATTAGTCTTTGCATGCCATGCATGCGTGCTCTCAATCCCATCATTGATTAGTCTTTGCATGCCATGCATGCGTGCTCTCAATCCCATCATTGATTAGTCTTTGCATGCCATGCATGCGTGCTCTCAATCCCATCATTGATTAGTCTTTGCATGCCATGCATGCGTGCTCTCAATCCCATCATTGATTAGTCTTTGCATGCCATGCATGCGTGCTCTCAATCCCATCATTGATTAGTCTTTGCATGCCATGCATGCGTGCTCTCAATCCCATCATTGATTAGTCTTTGCATGCCATGCATGCGTGCTCTCAATCCCATCATTGATTAGTCTTTGCATGCCATGCATGCGTGCTCTCAATCCCATCATTGATTAGTCTTTGCATGCCATGCATGCGTGCTCTCAATCCCATCATTGATTAGTCTTTGCATGCCATGCATGCGTGCTCTCAATCCCATCATTGATTAGTCTTTGCATGCCATGCATGCGTGCTCTCAATCCCATCATTGATTAGTCTTTGCATGCCATGCATGCGTGCTCTCAATCCCATCATTGATTAGTCTTTGCATGCCATGCATGCGTGCTCTCAATCCCATCATTGATTAGTCTTTGCATGCCATGCATGCGTGCTCTCAATCCCATCATTGATTAGTCTTTGCATGCCATGCATGCGTGCTCCCAATCCCATCATTGATTAGTCTTTGCATGCCATGCATGCGTGCTCTCAATCCCATCATTGATTAGTCTTTGCATGCCATGCATGCGTGCTCCCAATCCCATCATTGATTAGTCTTTGCATGCCATGCATGCGTGCTCTCAATCCCATCATTGATTAGTCTTTGCATGCCATGCATGCGTGCTCTCAATCCCATCATTGATTAGTCTTTGCATGCCATGCATGCGTGCTCTCAATCCCATCATTGATTAGTCTTTGCATGCCATGCATGCGTGCTCTCAATCCCATCATTGATTAGTCTTTGCATGCCATGCATGCGTGCTCTCAATCCCATCATTGATTAGTCTTTGCATGCCATGCATGCGTGCTCTCAATCCCATCATTGATTAGTCTTTGCATGCCATGCATGCGTGCTCTCAATCCCATCATTGATTAGTCTTTGCATGCCATGCATGCGTGCTCCCAATCCCATCATTGATTAGTCTTTGCATGCCATGCATGCGTGCTCCCAATCCCATCATTGATTAGTCTTTGCATGCCATGCATGCGTGCTCCCAATCCCATCATTGATTAGTCTTTGCATGCCATGCATGCGTGCTCCCAATCCCATCATTGATTAGTCTTTGCATGCCATGCATGCGTGCTCTCAATCCCATCATTGATTAGTCTTTGCATGCCATGCATGCGTGCTCTCAATCCCATCATTGATTAGTCTTTGCATGCCATGCATGCGTGCTCTCAATCCCATCATTGATTAGTCTTTGCATGCCATGCATGCGTGCTCTCAATCCCATCATTGATTAGTCTTTGCATGCCATGCATGCGTGCTCTCAATCCCATCATTGATTAGTCTTTGCATGCCATGCATGCGTGCTCTCAATCCCATCATTGATTAGTCTTTGCATGCCATGCATGCGTGCTCTCAATCCCATCATTGATTAGTCTTTGCATGCCATGCATGCGTGCTCTCAATCCCATCATTGATTAGTCTTTGCATGCCATGCATGCGTGCTCTCAATCCCATCATTGATTAGTCTTTGCATGCCATGCATGCGTGCTCTCAATCCCATCATTGATTAGTCTTTGCATGCCATGCATGCGTGCTCTCAATCCCATCATTGATTAGTCTTTGCATGCCATGCATGCGTGCTCTCAATCCCATCATTGATTAGTCTTTGCATGCCATGCATGCGTGCTCTCAATCCCATCATTGATTAGTCTTTGCATGCCATGCATGCGTGCTCTCAATCCCATCATTGATTAGTCTTTGCATGCCATGCATGCGTGCTCTCAATCCCATCATTGATTAGTCTTTGCATGCCATGCATGCGTGCTCTCAATCCCATCATTGATTAGTCTTTGCATGCCATGCATGCGTGCTCTCAATCCCATCATTGATTAGTCTTTGCATGCCATGCATGCGTGCTCTCAATCCCATCATTGATTAGTCTTTGCATGCCATGCATGCGTGCTCTCAATCCCATCATTGATTAGTCTTTGCATTTCTCAAAACTATCTTCCTCGTTGCAAGTGTCCCTCATCTGTCCCTCATCTGTCCCTCAGTCTCTCTATCCCTCCTCTGTTCCTCCTCCTCAGTCTCTCTGTCCCTCATTTGTCCGTCCTCTGTTACTCATCTCTCCCGCCTCTGTCCATCTCTCCCGCCTCTGTCCCTCATTTTTCCTGCCTCTGTCCCTCCTCTGTCCCTTGTCCTTTCAGCTACCTTGCAGGAAACAACCTGACAGGGTCTCTTCCTGCATCTGTATCACTGTTAACGAATCTCTTTGCACTGTAAGTGGGGCATGGGAGCGGGGCGTGGGAGCGGGGCATGTGATCCAGGCATCCATATTTTGAGACGTCTCAAAAGTCAACCTGACAGGGTCACTTCCTGCATCCATATCCTGACAGGGTCAACGAACCTCTATGCCATGTGAGGGGGGCTTGTGGGCGGGGCATGTGAGCCGGGGCATGTGAGCCGGGGCATGTGAGCCGGGGCATGGGAATCGGAGCATGGGAACCACGCGGGGCAGTCAGTCCAGCATTTCTGTCTCTGGGCTGCCTCACAGATCAACCTCTGTCTGCCTCACAGATCAACCTCTGTCTGCCTCACAGATCAACCTCTTTCTACCTCTCAGGGAGAACACACATTTTTGGAATTCTGAATGACCGCATTCAACCCCTCTTGCTCTTTCTCTTGGGTCTTTTTGCTGCGTCCTCCTTTCAGTGATCTGCGGCACAACAACCTCTCAGGACCTCTGCCTCCCTCTGCTTTCAACTGGTCCATGTCGGCACTGTAAGGAGGGGTCAGACTGGCCTAGTCTTCATCAGTGTCACGAGTCCGAAAACAATCATGCAGTCCTGGCGCGAGTCAAATTGCTATATTGTTTTCAACTGGTCCATGTCGGCACTGTAAGGAGGGGTCAAAGTGGCCGCTTAGGCTACATCAGTGTCATAAGGCTGGGAAAAAAAAAGGCCCTGTAATTTTAGTCATGTTAATGTACTATTTACTACCTCACTGTTTGAGGTCAACCTGGATTCGTATAGCTTCTTTTGAAGCCCAGCTTCTTCTTGACAATTTCATAGTCCCTGCCTTTTTCCAGTGATGTTTCACTCCCCTTGAACTTCAGTGATGTTTCACTCCCCTTAAAGCTCCGGCATACATTTGAAAGGAGGGGTTCAAAATCCTTAGGAACTTGAAAAGTTGCCCCAAAACTGTGAGGCACACTATAAAACCCTGAACCTCGATGACAAATGTATACTGGAGCTTTAACTCCTTGTGCAATGTCATGCAATTTTGTGCAACGCAGCTCTTTGTCGGACAACCACTTTGAAGGGGAGCTTCCAGCCTATCTTGGTGACTTCACTGCAGAAATGTGAGTGCACGATCGGGACGATCCAAACCACCTCCAAGAATCCTTTTTTGCTTGGTTTTGTGACTCCACTCACGAACACACCTTCACTGCAGAAATGTGAGTGCCCGGTCCAAACTCCTCAAGAATCCTGGTGTGTTTTTGAGTCCACTCACGAACACACCTTCACTGCTTTTAAGGCGCATCGAAAGACTTACAACACATCTTCACCGCAGGATGTGAGTGCAGGATTCAAACGATCCGAACCACCTTTAAGAATTCTGGTGCGTTGTACGTTGACTCATGAGTCGACTCTAAAGGAGACTTTTGAGTCGCCTCTAAAGAGTCACAGCTTACAACACACCTTCATCGCTTTCTGAGTCGACTTAAACAAATCACGGCTTACAACACATCTTCATCACTGAAATGTGAGTGCATGATTCAAACGATCCGAACGACCTTTAAGAATTCTGGTGCGTTGCGAGTTGACTCGAAATTCAATGTCACTGCAGAAATGTGATCGCACCATTCAAACGATCCACTGCAGAAATGTGGGTGCACGATCCGATCCGAACCACCTCCATTTTTTTTTTTTTTTTTTTTTTTGGGCTTTTAAGGAGATCCCCGGAGGAAACCTACCCCCCGTAGAGGATAGGCGCTTCGGTAAGCAGTGTTGTACCGGCTGTGCCGTTATCGGCTAAAACCCCCATCGATCCCCCCAACATGCGCGTGCCCCGTTTCGGGGACAGCCGTACCCTGATGGGCGTTGGCTTTCGAACCACCTCCAAGAGCCCTGAACTTTGGGATTACAACATGGAATTTGGAATTTGGAATTTTGGAATTACAACATGGGAGTGTTAGGATTCCCCTCCGAGAATTGCCAGGATTCCTCTCCGAGAATTGCCAGGATTCCCCTCCGAGAATTGCCAGGATTCCCCTCCGAGAATTGCCAGGATTCCCCTCCGAGAATTGCCAGGATTCCCCTCCGAGAATTCTCCAAGAGCTTTTTCTGACTACGTAGCTTGTGTGCCCCCATGACTGACTTTTGAGACATCTCAAAAGCTTGTGTGCCCCCATGAATATGCAACTTGGCCTCTCCACTTCACAATTACCCAATGGCTCGAGCGTGTTTTGAGACGTCTCAAAACATGGGTTGAGGGATTGCAAAGTACCAACGACCACAAGCCTCTCTCCTCACACCGACCCCTCTGTTGCTCCCTCTGTTCCCTTACCTTTCCCTCTATTACCCTTCCTCTGTTCCCTTACCTTTCCCTCTATTACCCTTCCTCTGTTCCCTTACCTTTCCCTCTATTACCCTTCCTCTGTTCCCTTACCTTTCCCTCTATTACCCTTCCTCTGTTCCCTTACCTTTCCCTCTATTACCCTTCCTCTGTTCCCTTACCTTTCCCTCTATTACCCTTCCTCTGTTCCCTTACCTTTCCCTCTATTACCCTTCCTCTGTTCCCTTACCTTTCCCTCTATTACCCTTCCTCTGTTCCCTTACCTTTCCCTCTATTACCCTTCCTCTGTTCCCTTACCTTTCCCTCTATTACCCTTCCTCTGTTCCCTTACCTTTCCCTCTATTACCCTTCCTCTGTTCCCTTACCTTTCCCTCTATTACCCTTCCTCTGTTCCCTTACCTTTCCCTCTATTACCCTTCCTCTGTTCCCTTACCTTTCCCTCTATTACCCTTCCTCTGTTCCCTTACCTTTCCCTCTATTACCCTTCCTCTGTTCCCTTACCTTTCCCTCTATTACCCTTCCTCTGTTCCCTTACCTTTCCCTCTATTACCCTTCCTCTGTTCCCTTACCTTTCCCTCTATTACCCTTCCTCTGTTCCCTTACCTTTCCCTCTATTACCCTTCCTCTGTTCCCTTACCTTTCCCTCTATTACCCTTCCTCTGTTCCCTTACCTTTCCCTCTATTACCCTTCCTCTGTTCCCTTACCTTTCCCTCTATTACCCTTCCTCTGTTCCCTTACCTTTCCCTCTATTACCCTTCCTCTGTTCCCCTACCTTTCCCTCTATTACCCTTCCTCTGTTCCCTTACCTTTCCCTCTATTACCCTTCCTCTGTTCCCTTACCTTTCCCTCTATTACCCTTCCTCTGTTCCCTTACCTTTCCCTCTATTACCCTTCCTCTGTTCCCTTACCTTTCCCTCTATTACCCTTCCTCTGTTCCCTTACCTTTCCCTCTATTACCCTTCCTCTGTTCCCTTACCTTTCCCTCTATTACCCTTCCTCTGTTCCCTTACCTTTCCCTCTATTACCCTTCCTCTGTTCCCTTACCTTTCCCTCTATTACCCTTCCTCTGTTCCCTTACCTTTCCCTCTATTACCCTTCCTCTGTTCCCTTACCTTTCCCTCTATTACCCTTCCTCTGTTCCCTTACCTTTCCCTCTATTACCCTTCCTCTGTTCCCTTACCTTTCCCTCTATTACCCTTCCTCTGTTCCCTTACCTTTCCCTCTATTACCCTTCCTCTGTTCCCTTCCCTTTCCCTCTGTTAACCCCTCGGGTTGGGATCGGGTCCCCTGCAGAATGGTGGACAGCACGCTCACATGCCCCGCTGACAGCACCCCCTGCTCTGCCCGACTCAAGAAGCTGGCCGCGCGGCCTTATCCCAACGACTTTTGCCGCATCATCTGCACCTCCTTTTGCCAGACATGCATCGCCCCTCCTCCGGATAACACAGGGGGGGAGTCAGGGGGAGGGACAGGAGGAGGGGGGTTGGGCGGAGGCGGTTTAGGAGGAGGATTGGGGGGAGGGTTAGGAGGGGGGGGGTTGGGAGGGATGTCTAGTGGGGGCTCTGTTGGGGTTTTGGGAAGTACCGATGGCTTGGCGGGCAGGAGCAAGCTCGGAAGCAGCTTCGGATTGCTGAGTCGCCGAGGCATGGTGAAGAGGCCGGTATAGCATCACCGCCTGAGCTGCATATATAGCTGAGATTCCCTCCTGGGATCACTGCCAAGGAGTAGCGGCTGACAAGCAGTAGCGGCTGCAGTAATGTCACCACCTGAGCTGCATACCACCGTACATAGTTGAGATCTCCTCTTGGGATCAACATCACCACCTGAGCTGACAACCAAGACACCAAACTACTAGTTGACAAGCAGAAGTGGATGCAATATCATCACCACCTGAGCTGCATATTCAGGCGAGATTTCCTCTTGGGAGTTTTTACTGCCCAAGTGCCGTTCTAATAAGGTAGTTGACAAGCAGTAGATATGTGCGGCTTTTCTCGGGTGCCTCCCAGGCCACAAACAGCTTTGCAAGTATCAACTCCACATACTTGCAAATGACTATCAGTAGCATTGGGAGCAATTAGTTTGTGAATCAACTCCTTGTGTTGTTGGGTGTGGTGTGTCCTTGTTGGGCTTATAATATTTCTTTTGAAGTGACTTTGTGGGGTTTATGATTTTTTTGTTGGGAATAAAGCTTGTGATTTGCCAATAACTAACAATTCAAACATACCGGTGATGGGGTGACTTGACCTCCAAATTTGAAAACTACCAGGTACCTGTTGTCGAGGCAAAATAAACGTAGTGCACATCCATCATTCACACCCAAGCTATCCCCCTACCACTCCAGATCAGCGCACAAGCAGACTCTAGATGCTCTCGCTATATCCTTGCTCTGGCTTGTTAGTCTACCAATTATCATAGCCCAAATAATGTTCATTCGCTATGTGCCCTATTCATTCGCTTACCACCATCGCTTCTTGCAAGGCGCAAACGTGTGCACTGCATGCTTCGCCCTCTGGCTACCCTTTTGACGAGAAAAGGCCCCATCCTCTTGGACAAAGCCGACTTCGCTGTCCACCGTGCAAGATGTGTAGCCGAGTAGGCTTTGTGGTTGGACGCCCTTAGTAGAGCCGACTTTGGCGGTTAACCAACTTTATTGAAGTTGGCCACTGCGAAACCAGATTCGTGGTCGACGCCGACTTGGAGGAGCAAGTCGGCTTGGGCAGCCGACTTTGTCGAAATTGACCACTGCAAAGCCGGCCACGAAGCTGGCCAACAAGATGACGTCGGCTGACGACGACCTGCCACAGGGGTCGACAAAGAAGGTCGTTGACATGATGCCGACCTGCGGGCACTGACTTAGCGACCTCTTCTAGTCGACCTGGTAACTGGTCGACAAAGTTCAGCGGAGGCGTGCAGACTTCGCCCCAAGTGGTTATGACAAAATCGACCTAGGGCATATGGAGCAACCGTTGACATGTGGCCGACATGGACATTTGCGCAGTCTAACTACATCTACATGGTAAATGCTACACTAGCAGGTTGTCTTGCTGAAGCGTTGGCAAGCTGCCCTGGCGAGCACCCTGCCTGTGCTTCCCGCGCTACCGGCGCAGCCAGCGCGGCCTGAGTCACTCACACTACCTGCGCCGTCCGCGCTCACTGCCCTGTACGCGCTGCCCAGCTCTGCCCTGCCCTGCTATGCTGCTGCTGCGATCAGCCCTGCCCTGCCATGCTACTGCCGCTACAGTCCTGCTGCTACATCCCCTGTTGCTGCCGCTACAGCCTTGCTGTTGCCGCTACAGCCCCTGCTGTTGCCACTACAACCCTGCTACTGCAATCTGTTTGCTCGACATAATTGAGTTCAGACGGATTACGCAATTGCAATAATATTTCTATAGTGCTCCACATCATTCCGTCTGCACCAAACTAGCATGTAATCGAATTTATTGCACTTACCAATAGATTCTGTGGCATTACTTGGCTGTCAAGAGATGACGAGAAATTGGAATCTCACCATCAACATTGAGTCTACCGCCAAACCGCCATTACAGAAATTGTTGTCCAATTTATTGTACGTGCGATGAAAGTACGACTTGTGCGCGAGATTGTAACTCATCGCGGGGATCACTAAAGTCACCCGATCGCTGCCGATCAATAGATATCTATAGATATACATCAATTGCGATCGATCGAGGTAAATTGAAGCGATCGATTGAGTCAGCTCGACCCATCGATCGCGATCAGCAGAATGCCCATGATCGCCTCGATCATTGATTCCAGTTTCCAAG